TAAAGAGGAGCGACGCGCGACTTCAAAGCCAGTCAATTTTACCGTTACGCGACCGCAGTATTCTTTTGACACACGTCAAAGGATCAAACTAGTCTAATTGTCTCATCCACAAGTTGGTGCACACTTAGCCTTCAATTTCACTATGACATATTCGAGAGGTGCAGAGAGTGAAAGTGAACGTAACCTCTGGAGTGCCGAGGATGTTGAAAATGATGCCTTTTATTTAATAAATGGAACGTCATATGCCCTCCCCATAGGAGTTATAGAGAAACATCTTTTTCTTCGCAAAAGTGAGAGGGGTCCTGACCCCAAGGACTCCTCTCGGCCCTTGATGCACCAATTGTTTTATGTTTGTTTGTTCGTTGAACCTTTGAAACATTGAATTGAATTATAAATTATGTGTACTTTTGAAGAACTGTTGACACGGCATTTCTTTCACAGGGACCTGATAATATGTTACACCTATATTTGGACATAAACTAATGTGTTAAGAGTATTTTTTGTTGTTTTCGGGGTTTAGATAGACTTTCGGTAAAATGACACCCCCAATGACTATATATCATTTACCAAAAGTGGATCTAAACCCCTAAAACATGTAAAATTACTCTGAACACCTTAGTTTAGGTCCAAATACAGCTGTAACAAATTATCAGGTCCCTGTGATTTCGTTTAGTAGTATAGTAAATTCAGATATAGTGACGTGCTATAAGCCTGTCACGTAACGTCATTTCCATTTCCCCCTTGAATTCTATGATATAAGTCGAAAATTGATGAAATTTGGCACACGGCTAGAGAATAACCTCAAGATTCGTTTCGTAGAAATCTATCCATAATGACTTAATTGACACCAACATTTTTTTCACGGCGAAGTTTAAAATTGCGTCAATGGGAATGACGTCGAGGTATACTTTCTAACCTGGTATGAGAAAAAGTGATATATTTTAATAACAGAGCCACGAAAAATAATATAAATATTACCAAAAAAGCACTGGATAATTCTCTAGGCACGTCGCTGTATCTATAAGCATACGAACAGTTTTGTATTTTGAAATTATCTTATTGCGTTTTGTTCACGCTTCAAATATCGCAGCGAAACATGATTACTCTGCGTTTTGTAGGACGACCAAGGGTTCTCATGACATGCTTACTCTGCGTATTGTAGGACGGTTCTACTTACAGACCAGTGGTTCTCAGGTTCTACCTTGCCTTGACGTTTTAACAGGCATTATATACATAAAAATTTAATGAGCCGAAACAATAGCTCAAACGCAAGACGGAATGTATTTTTTTTAAATTTCCTGACCCTTATATTTTGAAGTTTCTTTCACGTTAATGAACATTTCAGAGCTTAATTCTATGAAACCGAAAAAAACACCTCAACGATCTATGTGATGGTAAATGATGCCGAAAATCAACGGTAGGCTTTCTTGACCGCACGAACGAGAATATGTTTCTTCCAAAACAAAAACTGATAACTTTCTGTCCGAACATTTCCACCCGTTTTGGTACTTCCGGTTTGGGTTGTACCACTGTAACGTGATGATCACCCCAATAGCATAAGAACATTCATATTATTTTAAAATTGGCGTAAGCATAGAACATGACCGTCATTCCGTAATAGGCTTTTGTCAAAATTAGGAAAGTTGGAAGTACCAGCGCTCTGTGTTTGTATCTCAAACGAAGAATTCCGATTTGTTCGGCGTTTTTTTCTGACTCAGTGTTGCTATCCTGTTAACTATAGGATAGACATACAAATGAAAGAAATGTATTTATTGTAGTTTCCGTTTAACTAAAACACCTCTGCTCCGCAAGGAGGATTCGGTCACTGCAACTCAACAGTTGATTATTATAATTATTAAGCAGGGAACTTATCATCCTCGATACTCCAGGAGTTGCGCTAACTTACACTCTCTGCACCCCTGGAATAAGTCATAGTAAACTCACTCGAAGCTCAGTGTGCACCACCATGTGGATGAGACAAGAATAGTTTGATACTTTGGTGTACATCAAAAGAATCTCGCAGTCGCGTAACGGTAAAATTGACAGGCTTTGAAGTCGGGTATCGGTCCTGTCATCTTCAAAAGAACAGGTATCAGCCTAGTTATTGGTCAGTGTTTTCTTTGCCTGCTAACAACCAAATAGCTAGCCGTGTGTCTTCAATTTTGCTATGACATTTGCTAGAGATGCAGAGAGCGAAAGAGGAAGGATTCCTGCAGTATCGAGGACGGGAACTTGTCCGCTGCGCTAATAGTCACGATATCTGTTATATCAATTCTTTCCTGCAAAATACCAAGGAATAATTTGGAAATGTTCTTACTCCCTAAAAGACACACAAGCCATCATTGTCTCTGTATATACTAGAGTTGATAATAAAAAAATTAACATATTTTTTAGGATGAATATAAAAGAAAATAAGCGGGGCTCTGCTTTAAGCTGCGGATATGTGTTCACATTAATGCATTACGGAGTCTGCCCCAAAGTTATTTCATTGGAAGTAAGCTCCTATTCAGCTGGAGACGGACGCAGAATGAGAGTGATACAGAGGGCAGATCTCCTCAACTTAAGGTAGAGAGTGTTTTGTTTATACCAGGGCACTGATTTATTTGGTAAGATTAAGATAAAACTCAGTGTCAACATGTTAAAAGACCCCGCACCAAAGAACACACAGATATTACCATAACGTTGTGAACGCCTCAAGCTGAGTTTCAGCTTTAGTCTCCGTGCTAAATACATCAGAGATTAAGTTTGAGTTTAGTTTGAGACAGCCTCACAATACTGATGGTATTGGGGTCTTTAGAAGATGTTTACGTTGGCCCTAACTCAAACTTCGTGCATCATTGCACAGCTTCCAAGTAGACACGAACTCATCCTGGATATTCCAGGGGTTACTTTCACTTACGCTCTCTGCATGTATTACGCAAATTTGAAGGCACGCAGCTATTTGATCAGCCTCATGAAAAAGAACCTGGCCAATCGCTAGGGCCGACACTTGTCCTTTGAAGATTATAGAGGAGTGACACCCGACTTCAAAGCCAGTCACTTTTACGCGACGGCGAGATTCTTTTGATGTACATCAAATATCAAACTAGTCTTGTTGTTTCAGCTTTCGACTCTTCTATGATATATTCCAGAGATACAAAGAGCGAAAGTGAGAGTAACTCCTGGAGTATCGAGGTTGTAGATAACCCAGCCACACCCAATCTCAGTAGTTAATATAGCCATCTTCTGTAGAAATTATATAGAAAGGCAATCCCCAAGATCACTGTAAGGCATTTAACATCGAAAGTATCTTGTGTAATGGTTCGAGTTTACACGTAGTAAGAACTAAATATGGCAAAATTAACAAGAGGCCCAGAGGGCCTGTATCGCTCACCTGTTTCTTTTGTTACATGAAACTGACATGAAGGTAACTTCAGATCAAATTTGGTAACTAGAACACAAGACATTTTAACATCTCTAAAACGCTTCTTAAGATATTGTTGTTTGAAATTTGAGTGTGAAAGTGTAATTTTAAAGCTTTTAACCCACGTTGACCTTTGACTCCGGCTAGCATTTAAAGTTGACATTTGACCTCATTACTGTACTTAAGAAAAAGATTCACACTGCTGGTCTACATAGCATACCTAAGTATCATGACTCTAGACCAAATGGTTCTTAGGATATTGTTGATTGAAGTTTTTAACATATTTGACCCCTGTGACCTAGAAAGAAGGTCAAGGTCATTTTAATGAGGAAACTTTATAGCACTCCATCCCAGGTACCTACTGGCCAAATATCATGACCCTAGGTCCTCCAGTTCTTCATAAGTCGTTTAAAAGAAAAAGTTGACAGACAGACGCCCCAGTACGGCATAAGCTCACATGGCACTTTGGGCCAGGTGAGTTAAAAATGTTGTGTCAATCAGGGGATTGGAATATCTCAATTCCCCCCCC